ATCAAGGGATCCCTCGTTGAGTCCTGATCCTTGAGCCGGATGGTTCGCTGGAAGGACTCACAGGACATTATGCATTATGCTGTGCTTGAGAATCTAGTTCCATTACCACCAGGAAGGACCCAAAGAAAGAGATGTGCAGAGTGAGATCTGGGAGTGTTCCTAACGCAGAGCTTTCAGGCCCTGAGGAAGTGAGCCACCCTCCTGAGAATAAGACGAGAATGATGGGGAAAGGCACCGGGGAACCCCAAAGCATCAGCAATGTTCCATTAAGATGATGGGGTGTGTAGAGAGTTCATTATTTACTGTTCTTTTTGTTTGTATATAGACACATTTATTTTGTATTGTTTTCTATCTGAAAAATTTTACAATAAAATTAAAGTTATTTTTAATTAAAAAAAATGTTTGGGGGGAGAGGTGGCTAGGGAGAAAAGCGCAACAATTAATAACTGGAAACCCTAAGTCTCTGTAAATGTTCATTAATAAAATTAAAAAAAAATTCCCAGAAACCAAGAAGCTCTCCGAGCCTCCCAGGTGCTGACTCTAACGGGCTGACCACCTGGTCTTGGTGGACGGCACCCAGGAGCCCCTTGAGCTGATCAGCCCCTGCTTATTAGCCGAAAGTATGGTCCATCATGAAAGGAGCTGGACCATGGACCAAGCTGCAGTCAATTCAGGTTGACAGAATGACTTTCCCAGATGGAGACAGACTGTTCTTCTCCGCTTGATGACATCATGGTGGCGTGGCCTGAGCATTGTGGGCCAAGCATTGTGGGCCGTGTCCAGCTGTGAGCTTAAAATCCCAAAGCAGTCTGGTTGCTCAGTCCCCCTTGGTCAGGGGTTGGGGGTGAGGAGGAAGAGGGACATTTTAGGGGTTCAGGTCCAGGGAGGGTGGTGCCACCTCCCTTGTAAAATTGACTGAGGCGCAGATACTGCGGGTCTGGGGTCAGTGAGGGTGACCTGGGAAGCTGTGAGGAGGGCAGCATCACGCCGGTGCACCCCACTGGCCACCCAGGAGCACTCAAGGGCCCCCTGTAGCTGTGGAAACAGTGGTTCCCTCTCCTGCCTGATAGTGATCCGATGTGATGGGAAAGTGAGAAGTCACAGCTGGTGCCCGCAGCATGTCCCCTGTGAATCAGCTGAAACTTCTGATAGTTTCATCCATCTACACCTGTAATTCATCTTTAAAAAAAATGTGTGTGTGTGTCTGTGTATGTACCATCAAATCAGATCTGACTGGTACAGGAAGAGGTTGTTCCTCCTTCTCCAGCAGAGCATCTGGTGGATCCTAGAATTCATCTTTTAAAGTATCTTCAGTAAAATATGGCAAACCTTTAAAAGACCATAACCCTTTTGAAGAGAGTGGGTATAGGGAGTCTAGAAAGAAATGAGAGGATGTGTTCACATCCACCTACAGATTTCCTGATCGTGACTTAGACTTTCCTAAACTAAGAAAGAGATAATCATACATAAGGAAGTTACATTTTATTTAAGAAAAAAATAGATGCTTATAGTTTAAATGAAAGTGAAATTAAAGTTCAAATTAAAGGTCAAATCAAATCCACAGGAATAAAAATTTGACCTTGAGTCTGTCTCACCTGAATTTAAAAACCATCTCAGAAACAGGTTTGAGGCCTTGAACTCTAATGAAAGAAGACCAGATAAGCTGTGGGAAGATATCAAGAATATGGTTCACGAAGAAGGCAAAAGGTCATTACAAAGACAGAAGAAGAAGAAAAGACCAAAATGAATGTCAGAAGAGACTTTGAATATTGCACTAGAGCACCAAGAAGCCAAAGCAAAGAGAAGAAATCAAGAAGTTAAGGAGCTGAATAGACGATTTCAAAGGGCACCTCAGGAAGACAAAGAAAGATACTACACTGAAATGTGCAAAGAACTGGAGTCTGAAAATCAAAAGGGCTGAACTTGCTCAGCATTTCTTAAGCTGAAGGAACTAGAGAAGAAATTCAAGGCTCGAGTTGCAATACGTAGGGAGGGTATGGGCAAAATATTAAATGACCCGTGAAGGATTAAAAGAAGATGGAAGGAATATACAGAATCACTGTACTAAAAACTATTGGTGGACACAGAAGAATTTCAAGAAACAACATATGATCAAGAGGCAACGGTTATGAAGGAGGAAATTCAGGCTGCTCTGAGGGACTTGGAAAAATACAAAGGCCAAGGAATTATATGGATGCCCATTGACTTATTTCAACAAACATGCTGCCCTGGATGTACTCACCAGGTTATGCCAAGAAATCTGAAGGACAATAACCTGTCCAACTGACTGGAAGAGATCCATATTTATCCCCATTCCAAAAAAAAGTGACTCAACAGAGTGTGGAAATTATTGTGCACTGTCACTCATATCACACACAAGCAAAATCCTCCTGAAGCTTACCCAAAAATGACTGGGACAGTAAGTAGTACATTGACAGAGAACTACCAGAAATATTAGGTGGGTTTAGAAGAGGTCATGGCACTAGAGACATTACTGCCAATATAAGATGGATCTTGGCAGGAAGCAAAGAGTACCAGAGGGATATCTACTTGAGTTTCATTGACTATGCAAAGACATTTGACTGTGTGGACCACAATAAATTGTGGTTAATCTTGAGGAGACTGGGAATTCCAGAACACTTGATTGTGCTTATGTAAAACCTGTACTTGGACCAGGAAGCAGTCCTCAGAACAGGGCAGGGAAACACTGCATGGTTCAGAATCAGTAGAGGAATGTATCAGGGATGCATCCTGTCTCCATTCCTTTTCAATCTATGTGCAGAACACATCATTCAGGAAGACTGGACTTTATGAGGAGGCATGTGGCATCAGGATTGGAGGAAGACTCATCAACAACCTACGTTATGCAGATGATGCAACCTTGGTTGCTGAAATTGGGGAGAGCCTGAAGCACTTGCTTCAGAAAGTCAAGGACGGTAGTCTTCAATATGGATTGAAGCTCAATATTAAGAAGACAAAGATTCTCATCCCTGGGCCTATTGGCAGCACCATAATGGATGGAGAAGAATTTGAGGTTGTTAACAGAGCTTACTCGGCTCCACAATCAACAATCTTGGCACCAGCGGTCAGGAAATCAAAAGACAAATTGCATTAGGTAAATCTGCTGTCAGGGACCTTTCCAGGGTACTAAGAGGCAATGATGTCAGTATAGAGACTAAGGTGCACCTAATCCAAGCCATGGTCTCTATGATTACTTGCTATGCGTCAGAGAGCTAGATAATGATTACGGATGACAGAAGAAGAACCAATGCCTCTGAGGTGTGGTGCTGCAGAAGAGTTTGAACATATCATGGACCTCTAAGGAAACAAATAGATCTGTCTTGGACAAAATGAAACCAAGTGTCTCCTTTGAGGCTAGGATTTTGAAACTTCTCACGTATTAGACATGTGGCCAGGTGGGACCAGTCCTTGGAGAAGGACATCATGCTCAGAAGGATGGAGGGATTGTGCAGGAGAGGAAGACCCTGAATGAGGTGTATTAATACAGTAACTAGGGCAATAGGGATAGGCGTGTCTGAGTGACAGGTTCTTACTGGTCACATCACGTGGTCATGTCTTCCGGTCCCACTAGGTCTGGTTAGTCCTTGCTCATGAACATAAGATTTGGTCTCATTTGAAAGGAGATAGAACAAGGACCAGATTGTTTTCTGCACGTCTCACAAGAGCCCTTCCAGAGCCTAAACCAAGGGTCAGCCATTTAATATTTGTTCTGGGGCAGCAACGGCCTTCAAATGTCTGAGGAAGCCAATGTCTGACTCTTCCTGGGTAATGACTTACACCTGGGCTCTTCATTATTTACTGCGAAAGTGCGCGCGCGCGCACACACACACACACGCGCGCGCGCACACACACACACACACGGGAGCAGTCCTCAACCAGAAGGGACTAATCACTCCCTTTGTTCTATTGCGTATCTTACATGTCATCTCACCTCATCTCATCAGGGATCTGAGCAGGCTGGGGTGGGATGACAGACCCCCGTGAGGACTCCGAGGCTAAGAGAGGTGGTCTAATCTGGGCTGTTATCCACCAGACAGAAAAAGACTGTGATCCGGTAATAATGTTGCTGTTGTTGTGAGGGGCTATCGAGTTGACTCTTAGCGACCTTGTGAAATACAGATCTGAACTCTGTCCTATCCTGTGCCGTCCTCACAGTCTCTGACACATGCAAGCCCATTGCTTCAGACTCTGTCTCAATCCATTCGGTCAAGATCCTCCTCTCTTTTGCTGACCCTCCACTTTTCCAAGCACAGTGTCCCTCTCCAAGGACCAGCCTCTCCTAGCAACATGCCTGGATATGTGAGCTGAAGCTTTTATCATCTTTGCCTCCAAGGAGCACTCTGGCTGCACTTTCCCCAAAACATGTCTGTTTGTTCTTTGGGAAGTCCGTGCGATGTTCAGAACTGCTCTTCAACAACTCAAATGTAACCTCTTCAGCGTTCCATGGGATACCCAGAGAGCAGTAACTTCTTCTGAGTTATCCATCAGAAAACACCATCCACGTGCTCAACTAGAGGTGGTCACAGTGGCATCCTATGATTTGCAAGCCCTTACCTGCTTTTGCTCGGAGACCTCCCTGGATCTCCCTTGAGGGCTGCACAAAGGAGGTTCTTCAGGGCACCATTCTCTTCCTCCATTTCTCTGCACCCCACCCTCCCCAGGCCGGCTGTGTACTCAGGTCCATTAGCCCTGAACCCCCTGAGAGGTTTCTACATTTATAGACCCTCCCTGATATTACACTCCATGCATCCCTTCCACTTCTCTGAGAGAGACATACGAACATTCTCTGGTCCTGGAGACAGAGCTCAGGGGCAGAGAAGAAGCCCGCGGCAGCCTTGGCTGGGAGTGGGAAGTACTCAGTACTCGGGCTGACCTGTGCTGGTCCAGGAGGGAGAGAGAGTCTCCAACACCTGTTAGACGGTAACACCGCCCTGAGACCAGGTGACCCGGAGCAGCAGAGCAGGAGTGTCTCCCCGAAAATGGAGAACCTGGAAGGTGAGTCCTCTGTCTGTGTCCTCTGTGGGTAGAGAACAGGTGGTCATAGCAGGGGTGCATTGCAGACTTGGTAACCCAGGTGAGGGAACCTGCTTTGTCAGGTGCAACCTCGGGGAAAAAATAAGTATCGGGACCTTCCTGATCCCCTGTCTCCTAAGTAAACCAAGTGACAAAACCTACATCCCATACTAGAGAGAATAGACTCTGGTTCTGTTATTCAAGTGCCTGGCACACACAGCGTCTCAGCTGGCTCTGGCACAAGGACTGGTACAGGGTGAGGCCAGCATGGCACTAGGAAAAGAAGTTAAAGAGGTCCTTCCCTGAGAGAGTTCACACTGAGGTCACTTCTTTCCAACCCCGTGACAGAACATTTTTAATGATCCATTTCATGGTCCCCATCTTCTGTGACCCTCCAGGATCACAATGAGGGGGACCAGGACCTTTTTTCTTCTGCCAAGTCCGAGAGTGAGAAGCAAAGTGCTTCCAGGGACTTGACAGGACCTCACACAGAGGAGGGTGGGAGTGGAATGGGAACAGGAAGGTTCAAGGTCAGGTCCTTCCTCCTTAGAGACCAAGGCAGCGTGAAACGCTATGGCTGGCAGGACTGAGTAGCGTGTCTGTCCTTTGTCAGTCTGTCTGTCACACAATCCACAGCTAAGCACTGATGTCAGTACTATGGTGTGTGGGCACAGACAGACTCATGTGCCCTGAACTCCACTTGGGAAGAGAAAGTTCAGATTGGAGAAACTGTCCTAAATCCTGAAGCCCAGGGCCTCAGTCAACATCTACTGCTTGTCTGGTGTTCCCGGGAGCTCCGGGGCTTAGTGCTAAGTGGTTGCACCGCTAAACCAAAGCCTCATGGTTCAAACCCACCAGGTGGTCAGTA